GCAAGCTTTATTTACCTTTGTATAAATGGAGATGATATGAGCATAAGGAAAATTTCATATAACGTTTAATGAGATTGTGAGTCTATGCACTAATCAATTCATTAAGGAAATATTTGTGAAGCATATGCATTTGTTTTGTGAAAAAAAAAAAAAATTCTTCTCTTGTTGCTAGGTGTGAATGTAAAGCATAGCTTCCACATGGATTTTCTTCTCTTTTGTAGTATTGCACATCGAGTATTCGACTAAATGTCATGAGGGAAGGATTATGATGTTTTTTATGACTATCTTTGAAGTATAAGTTGTTAGTATATATCAACATGTTTTAGTTTATGCATAAAAGTTTTGAAAACTTATATTGAGATGTAATGTTAAGTCTTGGATGATCGTAGTTGCTCTCTTTCATTCTAAAATTTTGGTAAATCTTAAATAAACTCTCTTTTTTTTAAGATTTCAATAAAGCATGAATGTGGAGAGTTTGTGATGGTTTGTGATTATAAGGTGACGATATCCACTTTAGTTTACTTCATGAAGGTCTTATGAATATTGCATATCCATTGTTGGGTGGAATGTCGTTGGAAAAAAAAAGGTAGTAGGGTCCTGTTTGAGTTGAGGCTTTACATGGGTCATAATTCATAAAGCTTATAGTTGCTTAAAAGTTTCTTCTTCTTTTTTAAGTTAGAGATCTTTGTGAGAATTGGTTGTTTTGTTTGATGGATCCCATGCCCTATGAATCTAGACATTTGTATACACTCTTCATGATTAGTGAGTTTCATGAATGCTTAGTTAAAAACTTCGCATCTCCAAAACAAAGAAAAAATAATATTTCAAGGGATTTTTGAAAAGTTTTCCTTCGAAGAGCTTTGCTTCATGAATAAGTGACAAGATTTATACAACGTTTTCCTCTCCTCTTTAGCTATATGTCTATGGGATAATGCATATTGATAAGATCCCCTCTAATGTGAATTAAGGAAAGGAGGATTTCATGTGGCTGTTTTGTTTTATTCTGAATTTCTTTTCTATGAAGAAATTTTGAGAAGCTGCCACATGCACTTTTAATAATAATTTTGTAATTCATTATTGGTTCTTTGAAATCAATATTATATGTGAATACACACACACACACACTCACTCACTCACACTCACACATACAAACATATCAATTATATTAAGGAAATCCTTCGTCAATAAGTTTATCTTTGCCGCTATATTCAAAGAAATACAATTTATGTAACATGGAATGTTGTTATTCTTATTTAATATAAATTTTTTATGATATGACGATTAATGCTTTTGGGGGTGAAATAAAAGTCAAAGCTTGAATTGGACAAATCCTAGAAGAAAATATCATATGTGGCATGTTTGTTCGACATAATTCAAATCTCCTTTCATATATATGTCGATGTGATCATTGCAAATTCATTATATCCTAACTCTTTAGAATAACAATAATTTTTTAATTATTATTCTATGTAAATGACTGGTTTGTTAATTGTTACATCGGTTGATTATGCACTTAGTCATTTGATTTTGCTTAACTAACCTTCATATAAAAAGTTCTCTCTATATATATAAATTTTTTAAGTGCGTTTGATACATGGCGCTAACTGAAAAGAGTAGGGAAAATCATTTCAGGTTTGTATTCATGCACATATTCCTACTTCTGATGATCTTTGGAGAATTTTTTTTTTTTTGATGAAATGCAATGTTTATTACATCTAATCGACACAAATCTTCTTACTCATTATTTGAGCTCGTTTACTTTATGATAAAAACTAACATAGATCTTTTATTGGGAGAGTTTGTTGTAAACCTATTTTTATGACCTATGTTTTGATGATTGAAAAACACTATTGATTCTCCTGAACTACTTGTTTCTTCTAACTTTTCAGGAATCGAAGATCGGACAAACAGACGAAGCCAGTTAAGGATTGCGTAGGTTTAGGGTTGAGTCAGTCTGTACTTTTGCTTTTCACTTCTTGAGTCTACTTGTAATGGTCAAAGAG